CCTTATGTTACTCTAGAGCAGCGGTTCTCAACCTGTGGGTCGCGACCCCTTTGGGGGTCGAACGACCCTTTCACAGGGGTCGCCTAAGACCATCGGAAAACACATATATAATTACATATTGTTTTTGTGATTAATCACTATGCTTTAATTATGTTCAATTTGTAACAATGAAAATACATCCTGCATATCAGATATTTACATTACGATTCATAACAGTAGCAACATTACAGTTATGAAGTAGCAATGAAAATAATTTTATGGTTGGGGGTCACCACAACATGAGGAACTGTATTAAAGGGTCGTGGCATTAGGAAGGTTGAGAACCACTGCTCTAGAGCATGCTCACCCTCTAATATATTCTATTGTCTTTTACCAATTTATTTTGTTTACTGGTTACCTCTCTCCATTTAAACATAAGTTCCAGGAGGACAGGGTTTTTACTGTTTTATTCACTGCTGTATGCCCTACCCCTAGAACAGTCCCTGGCACACAGTAGGTGCCCAATATATATTTGTTGAATGAATGAATGATTTAAGTGTTGGTTACTGCAGGTACATTCCAAGGCTGAGCTGATTAGAGGCCCAGCAGTACCAGGCCTGGGACCTGCCACAACAAATGAGCTTCATTGAAAACGAAACATATTTTGAACACTGCGGTACGCAAGGCTCTGTGCAGGTGATGAGCTGGGCCTGGAACTAGCCTGAGCTGTGGCTCGCCCCTGTCCTCAGGGACTTCACAGACACATAAAAACAGGTAGAGCAAGAAAGCATATCCCATGACTCAAATTAGCACCACCAGATATACATTTACAGGAACTCAAGTGCAGGAGGTGCAAGGCTGAGGCAAGGGTATTACTAAGAACGGTTCCTGGTTGTAGACAATGGAATCTGAATCTAGAAATGATTGCTTCCTTGGGTACTCCAAAGAAAATTATTCAGAATGAATAAGCTTGCCAGCTCTGTTGTGTAAATAACATCTATTTCCTTTCCTGAAAATCCTTAAGCTAGAAATCAGATTTTCTAAATGATTGAAATAAAGCATAAACTGTCTTGAAAGACAGAAAGACCAGGCTTTATGCTGTGAATAGGGTATGGACCCCACGAGTGCTTTACCAAGATTATGCACAATATGAGCACTGGGTGACCTGAATCAGAATGCCCTGGGGCACAGAATTCTCACACCGCGATTCTGCGTGAACAGAATTCCCACTTGAAGCACAAAAATTCTTCCCTCACTGTTTCAGCCTGTTAAACGAATTGAGAATTGGGCTATGGGGCACAAGACAAAATGATTAAGTCTTTAAAAAAAAAGCATTTAAAAAATATCCTTTAAAAAAATTGAACAATGCCCTGGAGGCTGGTATTTGGGGAACATTTGGCCCATGGGCTGTATTAGGCCCAAGAAATCATTTGGTCTGGCCCTGCCAAGGCATTAGAGGTGAGTTAATTAAATGTTCGACCAAATATAGCAGGCTGATTTTTAAGGTGATAATTTGTATGGCCTGCGAATGATGTTATAAATATCCAAATGGCCCTTGGCAGAAAAAAGGTTCCCCACTCCTGGGCCTTAGAGCATGTCATCAAAACACTCGAATCACCTTGAACTCTGTAGTATAAGGCAGACACTAAGCAGAACAGACCATGAGACTTTATTTCATAAGAAAATATTAACTTCCTCAGAATAAAATTATTGCGATTTACCTTAAGATAACATTTATTAAGTGCTTATTATGTGCCACAACTGTGTGTTTTCACACTATATTAATCAACGCTGATAACAAATGAAGTCATGACAAATATCCCTATTTTCCAGATGAGGACATTGAGGACCCCAGAGAATAAGAGATTTGGCTAAATGGTAGAGTCTGGTAGTGCCAGAATTCAAATCCAGCACTCTAGACTCCAGACTCTGTGCTCATTCTTTACACTACAGAAGCAGGGAAAAGCCTGTGAGAATTGTAATGAAGGCAACAAAACTGTCCCTAATGGTGTTTGCATAAAGGCCTCTCATCTGAATAGCTGAGATATTATTTCTAGGACCTTATAGGCTTTCACAGAAATTAACAAATTTGGTTATTTAACTATTCAGTCCCATTATCTCGTGACTAAGTATTTGAGAAAATGTTTAGCAGTTAGCATCTTCTTTCCATGAAAACAATGAACTTTCACACCTAATAAAGATATACTATGTCTTGAAAAATCAAAGACTTTAAGCTGTTTCATACTTTTGCCCCTCATTTTAATAATAAAAATATTTGAAAGTGTCAAGGCTGCTGAATTACAGCAGGGACCAAACATTTTAATGGCTGCAATCAGCCCTACATTGTGCCAGGGTAGTTAATAAATTTAAGAGTTCGTACATCTTTAAGATCCACATGCTCAAAGGTCCAGAAGGGAAATTGCATGAGAGTGTTTGTGATTTTCTGTATCAATTAAGATTATAAAAATAAACTTAATATCATGAACTAGTAAGTTCTTAGGAATGAACTCAGCGTCACTGCTGTAAGTTGGCTGGAATTTCACTTCTGGTTAAACCAATGAGACAACACAAACAGGTATACTAGTAATCTCCACACAGGCCCAGTGCTCCGAAGAAAGAGGGGAAAAGCAGGATCTCGGGAAGTGCCTGTGATGGATGGGTTCACTGGGGGTGGCCCAGGCTTGACACTGCTCAGACCAGGAGCAGAAACACTAGGGGACTCCCCTGTGCTGCTCCTGGAGGGGCAAACGTCTAGGAATACTTCCGCTGGGCCCTTACAATTTTTATATGGGGATTTTCCTTTCTGAATCAAGCTCCTGGGCTCACTCACATTAAAACTGGAGGGAAAATAACCATCAGGACCAAATGCCAGGTTTGCAAAATAGGCATGTCATCCTTCTTGACTCCAAAGATGTACCTATGCAACAGGTTCTAAAGGCCAGGGAACAACTGCTCAAAATCCTTTCCAAGCCAGCAACACAGGTGAGTCTCTCTGGAGAACCCCATGGCCAGAAAAGCAGATTCCACTTCCACAGGGAATTGGGAGGGAAATGTCAGGCTAGGTTTACCCTTGAACTGTCCTTACACGGAGACAGGAAAACAATCAAGATCATCTCATCTATTTGGTCGAAGGGAAATCTAATCACTTTCTTTGTGACTTGTGTCATTTGAACAGGGCAGGGAAAGACCAATCTTCCCTAAAACAGCCCTTAGCCACTTGACCCTTCTAGGGGGAGATACAGTAGAGCTAAGTGGTCAAGACTTGGTTCTCTACTTCTCTGCTTTCCTCCCACAAATGGCCTCTGCTAAGACAATTAGAGAACGCTACTTATTTACTAGAAACCTGACTTTACTTTGCACAAGTTTCTGGAGGAGCAAATCTGGGGGGTTAAGTGAGGGAGCAGGCAACACCAACTATTCTGAGATGCAGAAGTAGCAGCTGCAGGGGGGCGGGGAGGGGGGTGCGGGCATGCACTGGGACCAGGAATCAAACCAAGACCTCCTGGTTCACAGGTTGATGCTTATCTACTGAACCATGCCAGCTGGCGGGTCCCAGCTTCTGTTTCCAAATGGAAGGTGGGGACTTAGAAGGAGTCTCACCTCCTGTGTGTCCTCACCTGTGTGAACTCACAGAGTAAAGGAGACAGACATGACTCGGACTCAAAGAGGAGCATCCCAGAGCCCAGGTTGTAAAACAGACAACCTGGCAGAAATCCAGAATCCAAACAGGAACCACTCACACCTCTGAGCAATGGCTCAGACATCCACCCAGGGCAGCGATTTATCAGGAGTGAATCACTTAAATATGTTTTTGTTGAAAAACAAGCAAATATGACTTGAAAATTATTTTCAATAGAAGAACAGTATGGAGAGTAAGGAAGTTCAGGGAGCCCATGTCTACACATTAGCAGGTTGGGGAAGGAGGAAAACTGAGTTCTGCTGGATCTCTTCTTCCCACTCCCGTCACCCCTGCATTTGGCACGAATGTGGCAGGTTTTCAGAGCCCGGGTGCCGGCAGTTCGTGCTCGCTGCCTGGGAAGGCGCCTTTCCAGCCCCTGCCCCCTGGGAAGCAAGGGCAACACCCCCCACCCTACGCCCTGGCCGTCCCAGGCTAAGGTGCCTCTTCCAGTCAAAGGAGAACTGTAATCCACATCTCTGTCCGGGCAGCGTGGTTCAGACCAAAAATTGGGGAGCAGATACCATTAAACACACACACACACACCCACCATGTTTGCTTCCACTAGGGAAGAACCCAGAGCTACTTGCTTCCCTTTCCCCTTCCAAACCCTTTTGATCGTTTTGGGTAAAGCAGGACCCGGCAGCTCAGCTCCTGGGGCACCCAAATGGGAGCCCCGATGAGCTTTGTTCTTCCCAGGCACAAAACAACACCGTGGGAGAGGCAAGCTCCCGCGTGGGGTCCGAGGCCGAGAAGGCGCCGAGGGACCCGGGCACTGGGTGTGCCA